CCCCCCCCTACCCCCCCCCCCATTGTAATTGAGTGTTAGGAAAATCTGATTCTTCTCTCCTGTGTTTGGTTTGTTTAAATCTTCAGCTGCTAGTTTCTAGAGGAGTTCTTGGAAGAACTCCTGTAAAATAATCTAGATTACTCTGGGTAGAGTGTACATATGCACTAAATAACTCGGAATCCATATCCAAAAATAACATCAGTTATAGAAACTGTCTATTTGGGCATTTTGAAGAGATGGGGAAATCTGTAAGATTATTTTATTTTATGTGATCTGGTAGGATCTTTCCTTAACCTCTATGCTATGCTATACTCTCTTGCTATATATATACATGTCTTATTTACATAAGATAAGTTTATTATGAATTGAAGTTTGTTGTAAGCCTTAATTATATCAATCAGGATATGTAACAATTTTAACTTTAGGCTACAAAATTCTGAGTTTGAATGAGAAAACTCATGCCTGCTGTAATTTTAGCAGATGACAAAGGCAGGTATCTAATAACCGCATGGTTTCTCTTCTTGTAGCATTAAAACCACAAGTGATATCCTTTTGTGTAAATATTTAACAGTTTCTCCTTTAATGTACTAGTAATTTCTGTCTGCTGTAATCCATCGAAACCTCTTCCTCCTGCCACCTGTTTTGATTACTTTGAAAGCTATGATTTTAAGACCTTGTCCTAGTCTAACCATGTTCAGGTTTTACTTAAATTATGGGAAACACAGTTTGATTCACATTAAAAACTAACATTAAAAAAATAATGTTTGTGGGGGGTTTTTAAATTAGTTTTTATTATTTTAAATGTTTTTATTGATCTTTAGAGAGAGAGAAAGGGATAGGGAGAGAGAGGTAGAAACATCAATATGAGAGGAACATTGATCAGCTGCCTCCTGCAGGCCCCATACTGGGGATGAGGCCCACAACCCCGGTATGTACCCTGACCAGGAATTGATCCAGCAGCCTTGACAGTGTTCAAACAACTGAGCCACACCAGCTGGGCTTTTTGTGGTTTTATATGATTCAGTAACCTCTTAAATATAAATGGAGTTTATTTGCTATTCTAGTATATAGATTGACTTCTATATGCCTTTTTTTAAATTTTTTAAAAATATATTCCATTGATTTTCTACAGAGAGGAAGGAAGAGGGATAGAGAGTCCGAAACATCTATGAGAGAGAAACATAGATCAGCTGCCTACCACACTCCCCACCCCCAGGGATGTGCCCGCAACCAAGGCACAAGCCCCCAACCAGAATCAAACCTGGGACCCTTCAGTCCTCAGGCCGACGCTCTATCCACTGCGCCAAACCAGTCAAGGCTGCCTTTTCTTTTCAAACTCAGAAATTTCAAATTGAGTATATACAGTTAAAAAGTGATTCCCATTGGGAGTAATATTTTAGCAGGGGCTTGAAAGGAAGGGAAAAACCTGCCATTATTGGAAACTGCAGGAAGGCAGATCCTTGATATGTAGTGGCAGAAAGCTTAAAGCTTGGCTACACTATGAAAGGTGCCTAGTGATCTGCATGACCTAACTAAGGAGGTTTCCAAGCAAAGTGTTGAAGGTGCCATGTAGTTTCTTCTTGCTTCTAGTAAATGCAAAACTAGAGAGAGTAATCAAGAGGAAAAGACTGTTAAACAAAAAGAAACTAGGACCTGATGGTTTGAAAATTCTTCACCTCTGGAGAGGCAAAAGATGCTAAAATTAAGAATGGCTTTTGAAGGAAGTTCAGATTCATTATGAGTTTTCTTAGTATCAGGTACCTCTCTTTCTTATCTGGTTGCAAAATTATGTTTATATGTTGATTGTTATTTGATGTTCACATTGAATTGAACCCAGGATTGTACCTTTTATTTCTGCCTCAATCCTGGATTGTAAGCTATTTCAGAAAGTCAAGGAACCCTATTAAGGAAGCCTCAGTCTATCCTGCTATATGCTATAGAGTAGGTGTTCCTTCAACAGAAAGTAAATGTCCTATGTGTGTGAAATTAACACCTCACTTGACAAATGAGGAAATCTGAAATAACTAGGTAGTAGTACAGCAGGAAAGAACCCAGATTTCTTTTAAAATATTTCTATTGATTTCAGAGAGGAAGGGAGAGGGAAAGAGAGAGAGAAACATCAGTGATGAGAGAGAATCACTGATTGGCTGTCTTCTGGACGCCCTCTTCTAGGGATTGAGCCCGCAACCCGGGCATGTACCCTGACCAGGAATCTAACCGATCAATCACTGAGCCTGCCAGCCGGGCAAACCCAGCATTCTTAATGTCCAACCCAAGGAATATTCTTTTTATTAGAGTAGTCTGCTTGATATAAACCTGAGTGATCATCATTTATTATCTGAGGTGCTTTAAAAAGTATTCTTGTAGCTCTCAGAATTTTTGAAGATGATAAGTTATGTTAGGAAGCCACTGAACCTTGGCCACATTGCCATTCATTTATTTTTTAATTGTATGAGTAAATCATGTTTAATAGAATTTTCCATTTGGGATTTTATTGCTAATTGTATTTAATACCTTCATGTTTATTCATAACGAAGAGAAAGAAGGGAGGGGAGACAGAAGGGCGACAAAGGGGAAAGAAGGGAGGGTGTATGTGTGTGTGGTGTGTGTTTAATTTTCCAAGGGATGGTGGACGCCACCTTTTATATTGACCATGGGAGAAATGACTACTTTTCATAACTAGATTGCAGTTTTGGTTATGTCTGATGAGAAGATGTTAAAGTGACGTCATGTGGCTCACATCAACAAAAGTTTTATGAAATGATTTAAAACAGCAAAGGCCAGAAGAAATATTGGGTTTGTTTTGTAAAGAACCTTGCACACTACAGAGAGCAAACTGTTGATGAGATTGGAATGGTCAATGGCACCTGCTCTTGTGCTACAGGAAAGGTACTAAAGATGTGTCATACTGCTGGGTGTAGAGTTGAGAACTGGGGTGGTGGTATTTGAGAGTGAAATTCATCAATTCATCATCTCTGTTGTAGCCAGTTCTTCTCTAGACATTGAATACAATCTGTAGTATATATAGAAAATTCCACTATTAAATGAATTGAGGATTATTATTACAACAGGCAGTGCATTTATTTAAAAAACTCCTAAAACATAGGAATTTATTGCTTCTGTTATATTTGTGTTTCCCTTATATCACAATGTTGCTTCAGTAATTTAAAATGAATCAGAACTTTCCTATACATTTTACAATAAAATTATTTTTAGAAATCGCCTAATTTAAATAATTTTATTCTTATGAATTATGCTTTTTAAAAATATATTTTTATATTTGGTTAACATGGCTTCTTATTATAAGATTTTAAGAAAATATATTTTATTGATTTTTTTACAGAGAGGAAGGGAGAGGGATAGAGTTAGAAACTTCAATGAGAGAGAAACATCGATCAGTTGCCTCCTGCACACCTCCTACTGGGGACGTGCCCGCAACCAAGGTACATGCCCTTGACCAGAATCGAACCTGGGACCCTTCAGTCCGCAGGCCAACGCTCTATCCAGGGGTGGGCAAACTTTTTGACTCGAGGGCCACAATGGGTTCTTAAACTGGACCGGAGGGCCGGAACAAAAGCATGGATGGAGTGTTTGTTTGTGTGAACTAATATAAATTCAAAGTAAACATCATTACATAAAAGGGTACGGTCTTTTTTTTTTTTTTTAGTTTTATTCATTTCAAACGGCCGGATCCGGCCCACGGGCGGTAGTTTGCCCACGGCTGCGTCTATCCACTGAGCCAAACTGGTTAGGGCAAGATTTTATAATGTTAATTAATGTCTTCCTCATGTCCATTTTACTTTTTAAATCTCTTACAGTGCCTATACCAACCAATCTTACAATTACGGCCTATAACTTGGATACTGTCCTATATTGGAATTACTCAATCATGGCGCAGAAGCCTGTTTTTACCGTACAGGTAAAAGTCTATGGGTGAGTGTTACTCTTTTATCCTTTTTACTCTGTTTTGTCCATGTCCTTGCATAGTTCATAACTGTGTTCTCTTCCATTATCCTTCCTTCTGTTGTGGCAAAACTTCCTGAACTGCTTGTAGATTCCAGAGAGCTAACGATGCAAATTAGTTCTTATCAGAAAACTTCCTACCTCTTAGTCCTTCTGTCACAATTGAAGCAGACAAGTATCACTAACTTCCCAGATTTCTTTTTACCTTTTCAAAAATTTTTTACTTATTTATGTTGTTATTTTTCTTAAGTATATTTTTATTAATTTCAGAGAGGAAGGAAGAGGGAAAGAGATAGAAACATCAAAGATGAGAGAGACTCATTGATCGCTTGCCTCCTGCACGCCCCCAGTGGGGGGTTGAACCCACAACCCGGCATGCGCCCTGACTGGGAATCAAACCATGATCTCCTGGTTCATAGGTTGACACCCAACCACTGAGCCACACCAGCTGGGCTTTATTTTTTAAATCCTCACCTGAGGACATGCTTAGAGAGAGGAAGGGGCAGGGAAGAAACATCAATGTGAGAGAGAAACATTGATCAGATGCCTTCTGCATGTGCCCTGACTGGGGATCGAACCCAGGTTATGTGCCCTGATCTCAAATCGAACAGGCAACCTTTTGGTGTATAAGACAGTGATGGCGAACCTTTTGAGCTCGGTGTGTCAGCATTTTGAAAAACCCTAACTTAACTCTGGTGCCATGTCACATATAGAAATTTTTTGATATTTGCAACTATAGTAAAACAAAAGATTTATATTTTTGATATTTATTTTATATATTTAAATGCCATTTAACAAAGAAAAATCAACCAAAAAAAATGACACGCGTGTCATAGGTTCGCCGTCACTGGTATAAGACAAAACTCAGCCAACTGAGCCAGTCCAGCCAGGCTGACTTCCCAGATTTTAAGGCACGATAAATAAATAAAGCTTTCAGTTCTCTATTCAAAATAATGTCATCTTACTTCCTATAGTGTACATGTATTGTTCAGTAAAAGAAAAATTTCAAAAAACTTTTTTACAAGTGTTAGGTGTCTTTGTAATGGGTTGATTCTGTAAGTGAGTAATGATAATGTTAATGGAAATGAGTTGTTTAAAGAGCAGATTTTTTAAAATTGCATGTGGAATATGATTTGTACAGATCTTGTAATTTGAATTGAGCCTCTTTATTGTAAATTATAGTACTTTTGACCAAAGAGCAAGGGCTTCCTTCCTACTTTGTCTAGATTCTTCATCATATTCTTTTTTCTTTTTTTTAAAGAATAGTTTATTGATTTTTTTAGAGAGAGAGGAAGGGAGAAGAGAGAAACATCGATCTGACAGCATAACATCAATTGGCTGCCTCCTGCACACCTCCTATTGGGAATCGAGCCTGCAACCCTGGCATGTGCCCTGACAGGGAATTGAACCAGCAACCTCTTGGTGCACAGAATAATTCCCAACCAACTGAGCCACACTGGCCAGAGCTATCGTATTCTTATTTAGCTCCTTCTACCAGCTCCATGCTGTGAATGAAAAGCAAAGCAAAGCCAGAGATGGTTCAGGTTTATATACTAATAAAAGTTACCTTTGTGTTTCTTTATTCCTCTTCATTTTAGGGAGGATGAATGGCTTGATGCCTGCAATACCTCTCATCATCACTGTAACATCTTTTCCATGATTAAGCTTCTAGACGTTTCTATCTGGGCCAGAGTTAAGGCGAGGCTTGGACAAGAAGAATCAGCCTATGCAGAGTCAGAAGAATTTATTTTGTGCCAACAGGGTGAGTAGAACGTATACATATCTAAATTTTAAATTTGAGAGTGTTTACACGTGTCTTCTATATATATATTTGCTTTTATTAGCAGTTGCTAAAAACTATTACAATGCCCAAGAAACATTTGGAGCAATTTAGGGAATTCGTGTCTTCCTCTTCTCCCAAGTCCCATAAAATAGGGCTGAGGTGCCCATCACTTTGCCCCTAATAAACTATTATATTTCTTTTTTAATATATTTTATTGATTTTTTTTTTTTTTTTTTTTTTTTTACAGA